GAGCAACATCAGCCTCAAACCTGGGGCCAGATTCACGAAAGCACTTACGCAAGCACTTACGAACGTGTACATCTTTCCTCAATCTTTGACGGCTTTGGTTACATTTATTAAACAGTTTACAAGCATGAAAACTTGCCAATCAACTGTTGTTATTGTTATAAACAGCCTCCTGGTGCTTCCGAGCTCATTAACTGTTTAATAAGTGGAAACAAAGCCGCCAAAGATTGAGAAAAGATGGACAGGTTCGTAAGTGCTTTCGTGAATCTGGCCCCAGGTCTCCAGAGTCATACGCCAGCATGGTGACTGCTGGGTCAGGGAGGCCTCCCGTGGGAGGAGCCAGCACTCAGGAGCCTGTTGCACCAGTGTAGATCGCAACAGAATACATTGCAACAGACGACCTGCTAGAGGCAATTAAAGCCATGTCAACCAGGACACTCGCCCACATTCCAAAGGCATCTCGCCCATGTCTCAGCCCCAGTGTCCCACAGAGCATGTCTGAGCCACAGTGTCCCACAGAGCATGTCTGAGCCACAGTGTCCCACAGAGCATGTCTGAGCCACAGTGTCCCTCAGAGCATGTCTGAGCCACAGTGTCCCACAGAGCATTTCTGAGCCACAGTGTCCCACAGAGCATGTCTGAGCCACAGTGTCCCACAGAGCATGTCTGAACCACAGTGTCCCACAGAGCATGTCTGAGCCACAGTGTCCCACAGAGCATGTCTGATCCACAGTGCCTCACAGAGCATGTCTGAGCCACAGTGTCCCACAGAGCATGTCTGAGCCACTGCCACACAGAGCATGTCTGAGCCACAGTGTCCCACAGAGCATGTCTGAGCCACAGAGCCTCACAGAGCATGTCTGAGCCACAGTGTCCCAAAGAGCATGTCTGAGCCACAGTGTGTCACAGAACATATCTGAGCCACAGTGCCTCACAGAGCATGTCTGAGCCACAGTGTCTCAGAGAACATGTCTGAACCACAGTGCCTCATACAGCATGTCTGAACCATAGTGCCTCACAGAGCATGTCTGAGCCACAGTGCCTCACAGAGCATGTCTGAGCCACAGTGCCTCACACAGCATGTCTGAGCCACAGTGCCTCACAGAGCATGTCTGAGCCACAGTGCCTCACAGAGCATGTCTGAGCCACAGTGCCTCACAGAGCATGTCTGAGCCACAGTGCCTCACAGAGCATGTCTGAGCCACAGTGCCTCACAGAGCATGTCTGAGCCACAGTGCCTCACAGAACATGCCTGAACCACAGTGCCTCACAGAGCATGTCTGAGCCACAGTGCCTCACAGAGCATGTCTGAGCCACAGTGCCTCACAGAACATGCCTGAACCACAGTGCCTCACAGAACATGCCTGAACCACAGTGCCTCACAGAACATGCCTGAACCACAGTGCCTCACAGAACATGCCTGAGCCACAGTGCCTCACAGAGCATGTCTGAGCCACAGTGCCTCACAGAGCATGTCTGAGCCACAGTGTCTCAGAGAACATGTCTGAACCACAGTGCCTCATACAGCATGTCTGAACCATAGTGCCTCACAGAGCATGTCTGAGCCACAGTGCCTCACAGAGCATGTCTGAGCCACAGTGCCTCACAGAGCATGTCTGAGCCACAGTGTCTCAGAGAACATGTCTGAACCACAGTGCCTCATACAGCATGTCTGAACCATAGTGCCTCACAGAGCATGTCTGAGCCACAGTGCCTCACAGAGCATGTCTGAGCCACAGTGCCTCACACAGCATGTCTGAGCCACAGTGCCTCACAGAGCATGTCTGAGCCACAGTGCCTCACAGAGCATGTCTGAGCCACAGTGCCTCACAGAACATGCCTGAACCACAGTGCCTCACAGAGCATGTCTGAGCCACAGTGCCTCACAGAGCATGTCTGAGCCACAGTGCCTCACAGAGCATGTCTGAGCATCAGTGCCTCACAGAACATGCCTGAACCACAGTGCCTCACAGAGCATGTCTGAGCCACAGTGCCTCACAGAGCATGTCTGAGCCACAGTGCCTCACAGAGCATGTCTGAGCATGCGACAACATCGAGGCACTAAACGCAACACCTGGCAACACTGGGAAGACATTCATCCGTCAAAACAAAACAGGAAAATAACCGATACAAAACACAACACTCTAAATATAACTAGGAAAACAATGTGTGTTACCTGCGAGAGTGTGAACCACAGCAACACGCGCGGACCTAACACGGAGGAACCGGTTCTCCGTTTGACGTCACAGCTTCCGGCAGAAAGAACAGGTCCGTGGAGTTCCTTCACCGCTTCCGGGAGAAACGTTGTGGTCAGGTGAGGCTGCCGGAGAAGTTGTCTCTCCGGAGCGTCGTGTTAATATAATACTTTCTGGGTCGAGCGGCATTTCCTGACCGGATCAGGACGCGTCCGGTGGAGTTGTTACTTAATATGTTCGCCAGACGCGGGGACTTGTGAGGCGGCAGTGTGACCTAATGCTCTCATACGTCGGCTTACAGAGGCCAGCATCCGTCGGCTTACAGAGGCCAGCATCCGTCGGCTCACAGACGCCAGCATCCGTCGGCTCACAGAGGCCAGCATCCGTCGACTCACAGACGCCAGCATCCGTCGGCTCACAGACGCCAGCATCCGTCGACTCACAGACGCCAGCATCCGTCGACTCACAGACGCCAGCATCCGTCGACTCACAGAGGCCAGCATCCGTCGGCTCACAGACGCCAGCATCCGTCGGCTCACAGACGCCAGCATCCGTCGGCTCACAGACGCCAGCATCCGTCGACTCACAGACGCCAGCATCCGTCGACTCACAGACGCCAGCATCCGTCGACTCACAGAGGCCACCATCCGTCGGCTTACAGACGCTAGAATCCGTCGGCTCACAGACGCCAGCATCCGTCGACTCATAAACGCAAATGCATACAATGAAGGAGCGGCCCAGTACTCAACATGGCCCAGTACTCAACATGGTCCAGTACTCAACATGGCCCAGTACTCAACATGACCCAGTACTCAACATGGCCCAGTACTCAACATGGCCCAGTACTCAACATGGTCCAGTACTCAACATGGCCCAGTACTCAACATGGCCCAGTACTCAACATGGCCCAGTACTCAACATGGCCCAGTACTCAACATGGCCCAGTACTCAACATGGTCCAGTACTCAACATGGTCCAGTACTCAACATGGTCCAGTACTCAACATGGCCCAGTACTCAACATGGCCCAGTACTCAACATGGCCCAGTACTCAACATGGCCCAGCACTCAACATGGCCCAGTACTCAACATGGTCCAGTACTCAACATGGCCCAGTACTCAACATGGCCCAGTACTCAACATGGCCCAGTACTCAACATGGTCCAGTACTCAACATGGCCCAGTACTCAACATGGCCCAGTACTCAACATGGCCCAGTACTCAACATGGCCCAGTACTCAACATGGCCCAGTACTCAACATGGCCCAGTACTCAACATGGCCCAGTACTCAACATGGCCCAGTACTCAACATGGCCCAGTACTCAACATGGTCCAGTACTCAACATGGCCCAGTACTCAACATGGCCCAGTACTCAACATGGTCCAGTACTCAACATGGCCCAGTACTCAACATGGCCCAGTACTCAACATGGTCCAGTACTCAACATGGCCCAGTACTCAACATGGCCCAGTACTCAACATGGCCCAGTACTCAACATGGTCCAGTACTCAACATGGCCCAGTACTCAACATGGCCCAGTACTCAACATGGCCCAGTACTCAACATGGCCCAGTACTCAACATGGCCCAGTACTCAACATGGCCCAGTACTCAACATGGCCCAGTACTCAACATGGTCCAGTACTCAACATGGCCCAGTACTCAACATGGCCCAGTACTCAACATGGCCCAGTACTCAACATGGCCCAGTACTCAACATGGCCCAGTACTCAACATGGCCCAAACTGGAAACAGGAATAACATGAAGTTTCACACCTTAGTCACGGGAATAAAAATATTTTATTTATAACTTATGTGTAATTCAACTCATTATTTCTGTATTTATCCTCAATAAAAGTTTGGCGTGTTAAATATAATGTTAAATATAAATCGTTGATCAACCAGCACTAATATTGTTGACACATTGTTGTGGCAACACAGGTGAGGAAGGTCGCCCCTCGGGGCAAAATTTAAATTTAAAAAAGGGCGGCCGCCGGGCCGTCAGTCCTCCACCAGGACGCCCGCCTTGTTGACCTCCGCTCGTGTCCACTCCTTGTACACCTTGAGATATATACAAGAGTTGTTACATGGTTGTAGAGCCACTAGTACGCGTAGCGTTTCGGGCAGGTCCATGGAATACGATCCCCGCCGCGAAGAATTGTTTTTTTCATCCAAGTACACATTTTACTGTTGCGTTAAACAGAAGCTACAGTTAAGGAATTGCGCCCAGTAAATCCTCCCCGGCCAGGATACGAACCCATGACATAGCGCTCGCGGAACGCCAGGCGAGTGTCTTACCACTACACCACGGAGACTGGTAAAAGTCCTAGACCGGGAACAAGATTCACGAAGCAGTTACGCAAGCACTTAAGAACCTGTACATCTTTTCTCAGTCTTTGACGACTTTGTTTACTATTATTAAACAGTTAATGAGCTCGGAAGCACCAGGAGGCTGTTTATAACAATAACAACAGTTGATTGGTAAGTTTTTATGTTAGTAAATAGTTTAATAAATGTAACCCAAGCCGTCAAAGATTCACGTTCGTAAGTACTTGCGTAACTGCTTCGAGAATCTGGCCCCAGCCGTCACCCAGGGGCAGGAGGCCCGCGGGTGCTCACTGCCTCTCAACATTAACACAGCTACACATCTTTTATCAGTCTTTGGCGGCTTTGTTTACAATTATTAAACAGTTTACGAGCATTGAAACTTCCTAATCAAATATTATTGTTATTAACAGCCGCCTGGTGCTTCGGAGCCCTAAACTGTTTATTAAATATAGAGAAAGGCGCCAAAGATTGAGAAAGCATTTACAGGTTCGAAAGATGTTGTGGAACTGTTTGAAGAGTCCGGCTCGTGGCTGCCACAGGCGGGGTGGTGGCTGCCACAGGCGGGGTGGTGGCTGCCACAGGCGGGGTGGAGGCTGCCACAGGCGGGGTGGTGGCTGCCACAGGCGGGGTGGTGGCTGCCACAGGCGGGGTGGAGGCTGCCATAGGCGGGGTGGAGGCTGCCACAGGCGGGGTGGTGGCTGCCACAGGCGGGGTGGTGGCTGCCACAGGCGGGGTGGTGGCTGCCACAGGCGGGGTGGTGGCTGCCACAGGCGGGGTGGTGGCTGCCACAGGCGGGGTGGTGGCTGCCACAGGCGGGGTGGAGGCTGCCACAGGCGGGGTGGTGGCTGCCACAGGCGGGGTGGAGGCTGCCACAGGCGGGGTGGAGGCTGCCACAGGCCTCGACATCTTCACTACGCAAAATACCAAGAGAATGTTCTTCCCCCACCACAACACAGGTCGTCAGCCCCTCACCCGGGCTCTTCCAACATTTGGGGAGATAATTTTTTTCCTATTTGTAGATAATTGGCCATTTACCATCACGAGAGGAGTCGGGGGTGTTCCCTGAGGTGTGGGGCGGTGGTGCAGGGAACCCAACCTTCGCCGGTACCTCACACTCACTCCATGTTCCTTTACTGTTTGTATCCCAGTAGGGCTGCCCACAGTACCCTACCCTGCGGCCTGTAAGCTACCACAGTACACTACCCTGCAGCCTGTAAGCTGCCACAGTACTCTACCCTGCGACCTGTAAGCTGCCACAGTACACTACCCTGCGACCTGTAAGCTGCCACAGTACTCTACCCTGCGACCTGTAAGCTGCCACAGTACTCTACCCTGCGGCCTGTAAGCTGCCACAGTACTCTACCCTGCGGCCTGTAAGCTACCACAGTACACTACCCTGCGACCTGTAAGCTGCCACAGTACTCTACCCTGCGACCTGTAAGCTGCCACAGTACTCTACCCTGCGGCCTGTAAGCTACCACAGTACACTACCCTGCGACCTGTAAGCTGCCACAGTACACTACCCTGCGACCTGTAAGCTGCCACAGTACACTACCCTGCGACCTGTAAGCTGCCACAGTACTCTACCCTGCGGCCTGTAAGCTGCCACAGTACTCTACCCTGCGGCCTGTAAGCTGCCACAGTACACTACCCTGCGACCTGTAAGCTGCCACAGTACTCTACCCTGCGGCCTGTAAGCTGCCACAGTACACTACCCTGCGACCTGTAAGCTGCCACAGTACTCTACCCTGCGGCCTGTAAGCTGCCACAGTACTCTACCCTGCGGCCTGTAAGCTGCCACAGTACACTACCCTGCGACCTGTAAGCTGCCACAGTACTCTACCCTGCGGCCTGTAAGCTGCCACAGTACACTACCCTGCGGCCTGTAAGCTGCCACAGTACTCTACCCTACGGCCTGTAAGCTGCCACAGTACACTACCCTGCGACCTGTAAGCTGCCACAGTACTCTACCCTGCGACCTGTAAGCTGCCACAGTACACTACCCTGCGACCTGTAAGCTGCCACAGTACACTACCCTGCGACCTGTAAGCTGCCACAGTACACTACCCTGCGACCTGTAAGCTGCCACAGTACTCTACCCTGCGGCCTGTAAGCTGCCACAGTACACTACCCTGCGACCTGTAAGCTGCCACAGTACTCTACCCTGCAGCCTGTAAGCTGCCACAGTACTCTACCCTGCGACCTGTAAGCTGCCACAGTACACTACCCTGCGACCTGTAAGCTGCCACAGTACACTACCCTGCGACCTGTAAGCTGCCACAGTACACTACCCTGCGACCTGTAAGCTGCCACAGTACACTACCCTGCGGCCTGTAAGCTGCCACAGTACACTACCCTGCGACCTGTAAGCTGCCACAGTACACTACCCTGCGGCCTGTAAGCTGCCACAGTACTCTACCCTGCGGCCTGTAAGCTGCCACAGTACACTACCCTGCAGCCTGTAAGCTTCCACAGTACACTACCCTGCAGCCTGTAAGCTGCCACAGTACACTACCCTGCGACCTGTAAGCTGCCACAGTACACTACCCTGCGGCCTGTAAGCTGCCACAGTACACTACCCTGCGACCTGTAAGCTGCCACAGTACACTACCCTGCGACCTGTAAGCTGCCACAGTACTCTACCCTGCGACCTGTAAGCTGCCACAGTACACTACCCTGCGACCTGTAAGCTGCCACAGTACACTACCCTGCGACCTGTAAGCTGCCACAGTACACTACCCTGCGACCTGTAAGCTGCCACAGTACACTACCCTGCGACCTGTAAGCTGCCACAGTACTCTACCCTGCGGCCTGTAAGCTGCCACAGTACTCTACCCTGCGGCCTGTAAGCTGCCACAGTACACTACCCTGCGACCTGTAAGCTGCCACAGTACTCTACCCTGCAGCCTGTAAGCTGCCACAGTACACTACCCTGCGACCTGTAAGCTGCCACAGTACACTACCCTGCAGCCTGTAAGCTGCCACAGTACACTACCCTGCGACCTGTAAGCTGCCACAGTACACTACCCTGCGGCCTGTAAGCTGCCACAGTACACTACCCTGCGGCCTGTAAGCTGCCACACACACCATCACTGCCACACAGTAACCAAGAAGTGTAAGATGAACCATTACTTAATACTATTGGTAAGCCCAGACCTCGCCGACTCATGGCTCCTGGGGCTTCCCCATGCTAAACAGATGCTCGGTGACCTCTCCCACGCTAAACAGGTTATTGAGCTCCATTTCCATGTTAAACGTTTCTTGTTGAGGTCTAAATATAGACGCCGACATCCTGCCACCGGTGGTGTGATGTCACTTTACCGGTGGCGTGACGTCACTACCGTCAGGACGCCTGTTCTGTCGTCTGGGGACGTCAGGACGCCTGTTCTGTCGTCTGGGGACGTCAGGACGCCTGTTCTGTCGTCTGGGGACGTCAAGACGCCTGTTCTCTCGTCTGGGGACGTCTGGTGGGCTGTTCTCTCGTCTGGGGACGTCAGGACGCCTGTTCTGTCGTCTGAGGACGTCAGGACGCCTGTTCTGTCGTCTGGGGACGTCAGGACGCCTGTTCTGTCGTCTGGGGACGTCAAGACGCCTGTTCTGTCGTCTGAGGACGTCAGGACGCCTGTTCTCTCGTCTAGGGGACGTCAGGACGCCTGTTCTCCCGTCTGGGGACGTCAGGACGCCTGTTCTCTCGTCTGGGGACGTCAGGACACCTGTTCTCTCGTCTAGGGACGTCAGGACGCCTGTTCTCCCGTCTGGGGACGTCAGGACGCCTGTTCTCCCGTCTGGGGACGTCAGGACGCCTGTTCTCCCGTCTGGGGACGTCAGGACGCCTGTTCTCTTGTCTGGGGACGTCAGGACGCCTGTTCTCTCGTCTAGGGACGTCAGGACACCTGTTCTCTCGTCTGGGGACGTCAGGACGCCTGTTCTCTCGTCTGAGGACGTCTGGTCGGCTGTTCTCTCGTCGTGGGACGTCTGGACGTCTGTTCTCTCGTCTGGGGACGTCTGGACGCCTACTTTGTGTACCCTCGGGGGAATACGGGGCTGGCGTCAGGCTCCTGGCGTGCCGAAGGTCACTGGAGGAGGGTGATGCCCGACAGGAGTGTAGAAGCCGCTGACGCCTGTGATCATAAGGTGCCGGAAGTCTTCTTGCTGGCGTCCGTCGCTCATGGGGAAGGGGAGGTACGCCGCTAGTCACCAAGCATATATATACCTCACAGCATGTTCTTCTGCCGTAAGGCAGAAGACCAGACCAGACCAGGAGGCCTGGTCGACGACCGGGCCACGGAGACGCTAAGCCCCGGAAGCACCTCAAGGTAACCTCAAGGTAAGGCACAGTGGTCAGCCACTGGAACCATTAGCAACAAGGCTTTAACGTTTTTTCCCCCCATCAAGGAAACGCCGGGGCACGTCCGTTGTGGCCGCTGAAGCAGCAACACAACACCCGCCCCAACGCCACACCTCTTCCCCATCACCACCTGTTGACGTTCTTGGGTGTAATCCGCAAATCCGCCTGTAAGACGTCACCAGAGGGCAACAAGGCCGGTGTGTGTGTGTGTGTTGTTCCGTCTCCGGTTGTCGCTAGTGGAACGACAAAGGAATTCTTGGAAACATTTACAAGAACAAAGATAATTATGGTTATGTGAATAGTGAGTTGATATTATGATTGGCAGAGTATTTCTTATATATGTTCAAGACGCCATAAATAACAGGGACGTGGACAAAGTAAGAGGAGACTGTAGTGCAGCTGTATTATCCTGCAGCTGTCTTGTGATGCGGTTGTATTGTAATGAAGTTGTATTGTGATGCAGCTGTTTTGTCCTGTAGCTGTCTTGTGATGCAGCTGTATTGTGATGCGGTTGTATTGTGATGCAGCTGTATTGTCCTGCAGCTGTATTGTCCTGCAGCTGTATTGTGATGCGGTTGTATTCTGATGAAGCTGTATTGTCCTGCAGCTGTTTTGTGATGCGGTTGTATTGTGATGCAGCTGTATTGTCCTGCAGCTGTTTTGTGATGCGGTTGTATTGTGATGCAGCTGTGTTTACTAGTTGTGTTTTTTTTTGCGGGGGTTGAGCTTTGCTCTTTCGGCCCGCCTCTCAACTGTCAATCAACTGTTTACTAACTACTTTTTTTTTTTTTTTTTCCCACACCACACACACACACACACCCCAGGAAGCAGCCCGTTACAGCTGACTAACTCCCAGGTACCTATTTACTGCTAGGTAACAGGGGCACTTAGGGTGAAAGAAACTTTGCCCATTTGTTTCTGCCTCGTGCGGGAATCGAACCCGCGCCACAGAATTACGAGTCCTGCGCGCTATCCACCAGGCTACGAGGCCCCCTACGAGCTGTATTGTCCTGCAGCTGTTTTGTCCTGTAGCTGTATTGTCCTGTAGCTGTATTGTCCTGCAGCTGCAAGGGGGGAAATTATATTATACAATAGATTATAAGGGAGCCGGTCGGCCGAGCGGACAGCACGCTGGACTTGTGATCCTGTGGTCCTGGGTTCGATCCCAGGCGCCGACGAGAAACAATGGGCAGAGTTTCTTTCACCCTATGACCCTGTTACCTAGCAGTAAAATAGGTACCTGGGTGTTAGTCAGCTGTCATGCACGGGCTGCTTCCTGGGGGTGGAGGCCTGGTCGAGGACCGGGCCGCGGGGACACTAAAAAGCCCCGAAATCATCTCAAGATAACCTCAAGATTGCACCAAATAAGCTCTTGTGGGGCTAATAAATTAGATATCAACTATGGATCCCTCCACAAACTCCACTAATACAACGGTGCTTCGTATCCTCAGTTGGAACAGCTTCACTCAGGAAAAGACTTCCTGATCTTCACCACAAAGTGACAACCGAGGTCATTGATGTCGTCTGCCTTCAGGAGTGCAGAGTTCCCACCAGGTCT